GGACAAGCTGAGCAAGATCCAGACGCTGAAGTTGGCCGCTCGCTACATCGATTTCCTGTGCCAGGTGCTGCAGAGCGACGAGCTGGACCACAAGGTCGCCACCAGCTGCAACTTCCTGGCCCACGAGAGGCTCAGCTACGCCTTCTCCGTGTGGAGGATGGAGGGCGCCTGGTCCATGTCGGCGTCTCACTGAGCTGGGTACGTGTGGCTGTGTCACGTCCTTCGTGTCACCTCCCTGTCACCTCCCTGTCACCGCCGTGTCACCTCCCTGTCACCTCCCTGTCACCGCCGTGTCCCGGCTCCATCCCGCCCCTCCTGGCCCTCCAGGGGTGAGGGATTTGTCATCCCTGCGGTTCCTGAGCTGTCCTGGAGCGACTGACTCGGCAGGGGCGGGGGAGGTTTAAAAGGGGGTTGTAAAAATCTGGTTTATTCCCAGAAATCTGATTTATTCCCAGAAATCTGATTTATTCCCAGAAATCTGATTTATTCCCAAAGCCCTGGCCTTGCTGGGGCTGCCGAGGTGTCAAAGCCCTGTTCCTCTGCAGCACGGTGGGATCCGTGATCCCGAGGGATCCCCTGGAATCCTGCGCTGCCTGGGGAAATCTGACGGGCTCAGCTCCATCCAGCACCACCTGAGCGTCCCTCGGGATGCCGAGAGGGGAATAATCCAATTTTCAGAGCTTTAGGGCCGGGAGGAATCGGGAACGGGAGGAGTGGGGGCTGACGAGGCGCTGGCACTTCCCGCAGAGCAGGAGCAGAAAGTTCCAGAGGACGTTCCCAAGCCGGGAATTCCGGGGACACCTCAAGGGAACCCCAGGGCTCCTCCTGCCTCTCCTCGGGCACCGAACATCCCCAGATTCGAGGCCGTGGAGGTGCCAGCGCTGGCTCAGGAGCATCTCCCGGGGGATTTCGTTTAAGGATGAGCCGCTTTGCAACTCCCTTTCCCAGCCAGATCCCTCCCAGCCAGCGGGAAATCTGACACCTCGCTAAATTCGTGTGGAGATATCAATTCTGGGGGCAGACCCTGTTGTTTCAGACATGAAATTCTGTCCTCGCCGGGAGCTGCCCTTCCTTGGGTGACACCGGGGTCATCTCCCCTCGGGGCCGGCCAGAGGAGCAGCGAGCGGCTCCTTGTCCCCACTTTGGGATGCCCAAAAAACCCTCCAGGACCAGTCGGGATGCTGAACCCCCCGTGCCCCCCCGGACCCCTCACCCTCCTCTGGGCACCCCCTTTTGGGTTTGACAGTTTGGGCTTGGATTCTCCAGTTTTGGGGGTGTTGTGGGGGCGCTCCCCAAAGACAGGCGCGGCTTCATCCCGAATTTTGCAAAGCCTGACTAAAATCCCTTTGCCCCGGGGAGGTGGGGGAGGCTGAGCCCCCTCCCCAGCACCCCCAGACCCATTTTTGCTCCCTCTGCGTGCGGAACCCGAGGCGGCTCCGACTGCCAGAGCTGTTTATTTAATCCGAGTTCTTGGCAGGAGCTGCGCTCCCGGGATAAACGGAGGGATCAAAAGCCCTGCAGTCGCTTTGGAGAGCTCCCGTGAGCGCAGCGGGATCATCATTCCCGTTAAAATCCATCCCGATCCAGCTGGGGAGGGAATCACCCACCCCGGCTCACCCTGCAGCGGTTTTGGGTCCCGGAGAACAATCCCAGCAGGGCAGGGATGGAGAGGGACGGGGAAATCTCCAAAAAAACCCCAAAATCAGGGAAGAGCCGCCAGGGAAGCGGTGCCGGGCTGGGGAAAGCTCCTTCTCCCTCCCAGGAGGGAACGAACCCGGCGCTCGCAACGGGGCTGGGATTTCCTAATGGAAAGCAGCCCCTGGATAGTGGAACTCGGCCGATTAAATATCAAAGGGGGCTGGAATATCTGGATGTGCCCTTGTTAACCGGGAGACATCAGCCGGGGAAAGAGGGATGGAGCCCTCAGGCAACAGAAATCACGTTTGAAGTCCCCCCCCAGCTTTTCTCGGCAGAGTCTTGAGTGCATTAAAATGGTTTCTTTCCCTGCTGGAGGAGAAAATGAGGCTGGAAGCTGGAAGTGCCGGGGGGAGAGGCTGAGCGCCGATGTTCCTCGCCCTTCATTTGTCTCCCTGGATTTATCGCCTCTCCTGGATTTATCGCCTCTCTCGCGTTGCCCTCTCTTAATTGTCTCTCCTGAAAGACCTTGGATAAATCTTCCCTTTGGGGACTGTTGCTCTCGCCTGGAATCGGCTTTGTCTGGCGGCTGCTTCATTTGCTTTTATTTATAAACACCTCTCGCTGCTCCGGGGCACTGGGGGAGCTCGGGAACAGCTCCCATCCCTATTCCCTATTCCCCATTCATTTCCCTGCTCGGGAAATCCATCTCAAGCTGCTTTAAAACCTCCCAGATCCTTCTGCAGCCCGCCAGGAAAGCAGGGATCCCTTCCCACCCCAAATCAATCCCTTCAAAGTGGATCCAGCCCCTGGTGAAACCGCCCAGGGCGGTTCGGGACCCCCGGTTTGGGGCTGGGGGTCTCAGGAGAGGGAGGAGCTGCCGAAATCCCGGGAAATCTGTTTCTCCCTGATTGGGATTTTCTCCTGGAACTGGGCAGGTTTGGAGGCCAGAGGCTTCCCCAAAATTCCGCTGTTTTCACTCGGGATGGAAGGGGAGATGTTGGAGGAGCCGCCCCGGTGAGGGATGTGGGACATTCCCTGGAATCCCGGGCTGCTCGCAGGGAATTGTCACAGGCGCCACCAGAGCCGCTGGATTCATTTTTCCAGCAAAAAACCTCCACATTTTCATTAAAAACGGGAAAAAAACCCACCCAGGGGGACCGAGCTGCTCCCCACGGCAGGGTCCCTGCACTGCTCGGGATTAATTCAAATGAATCCAGACATAAAATCACGGATCCGGCCCTGGGGAATGTGGAAATATCTCCGGGTTTATGGTCCCTGCAAGGAAGCGGAGCTCGCTGGAGCTGCTCGGCCTCGGGAATTCCTCTGGAGCCGGTTTTTCACCCCGGGAGCTGCGGGGGAACGCCCGGCATTGATTCCCGGGCTGGACAAAGGCGAGGATGCCGAAGGGCGAGGAGGGGCCTGGGGAGCTCCGGGAGCTTCTCCAGCCCAAACCCCGCAGGGTCCGGAGGCTCCCGCAGCCCTGGAACCGCCTGGTGAGGGTTTTTTGGGATCAGACCTCGCTGGGATCAGGGAGCTGATCCATTTTTCCAGGGGATGGGTTGAGATGATCCCGTGACTCCGGAATTTTGGTTGTCCTGGAGCCCCTGGATGTGCCCGTTCCCCATCCCAAGGGCTCAGCCAGGGGACACAGCAGCTTTTGGGGATTTAAATCCCCGTTCTCCATTCCCTGGCATTACCTCAGCCCTTCCCGGGGCTGAATTCCTGGAGGATTTGATTTATCCCTCCCCGGGCTCCTCTCCAGAGAGGGAAAGGTCTCGGTGAGGAGGAAACAAAGCGGGAGGGGATGGAATAAACCTGGAATAGGCGCTGAGGGTGCCGGGATCCCGCGGGGATCCATCCCCTCGTGCCCAGGAACCGGAGCCGTTCCCGATTCCCTGCTCCATCCACCATCCCTGGCTCCGGGAGCGCTCCCAGGGGAGCACAGACCAGTTCTGTGGGAAAAGCCGGGATTTTGGTGTTTTCCACCCGGCCTCAGCCGTGGGGACGTTTCCCGGCGCATCCCTGGCGGCTCCGGGGAAATTTGGGAATGCGAAGCTGCGGAGGGAGCGGCTCTGCCCCCGCTGGCTCCCGGGATTTGCAGGATTTTGGGAAGCCCAGCCCAGGCTGACCCCGCTGTGTCCCCCCCAGGTCTCCGCCTCGATGGAAGCAGCTCCAACACCCAAAACCCCCCAGGAACCACCCTGGAGAGAGGAGGGAACGACCCCCAAACCCCCGGCGGCCCCGGGGATCCCAAAAACTTCAGGAATGAGCCCGAGGGAGCAGCAGGAGCTGCTTGGAGTCGCTTCGGACGCTGCCGGAGGAACCTGGGGCTGGGATTTATTGTGGGCTCAGGTAAGGAACGATCCCGGATCCCTGGAGCCTCCTGGAGCGGGCAGGACAATTCCTCTGCAATGAGGGGAAGGGGAAGGGCTGGAGCCCCCCCTGCGCTTTTATCCCGCTCCGAAAGCTCTGCCGGGACCTTCCCACGGATCCCCATGGATGAGCACAGGGGGGATTTGGGGGCTGCTGACCCCCACGGATCGGCCTCAGAAACTCCCTGCTGGAACCACCCGAACCCTCGGAATTTATCGGCGCTCCGGGCTGGAGACGGAGCCGCCGGGAATGGGGGATTTCTTTGGGGCCGTTTTGGGAACTCTGGGGGGGTTTGGACTCTTTTTGGGGGCACAGAAAGGACGAGGGAGGTGCCCAAAACCACCCCAATAAAGCCCAGGGGGAATTTTCCAAGGTTCAATCCTCGTGTTTCCTACGGAAGCTGCCGGCTTCCCTCGGCTGAGCCGCTTTTATTGCAATCAGGCAAAACAAAATCAGAGTTTTTTGCCTGTTAGGGCACAAAAAAAGGGGGAAAATCCTTTCCAGGGAGGTCTGAACCCCCAAATATTCCACGGGAGAGGAGTTCAGTTGTGATCGGATTTGGGGAACACCGGAGAATCCACGGAGGAGCCACAGGAAAGCCCAGAGCGACCTTTTCTACCCAATTCCCAATTTTTCCAGGCAGTGGGAATGGATTCCCTGCTCCGGGGAGTGAATTGCAGCCTTCAAAAAAAAAAAAATCTGGGGATGCTTAAAAAAAAAATAATTCAAAACTCCCTTAAAAACGGGGCTGTGGTTCCTTCATTTGGTGCCTCACGGGAAGGATTTTACAGCTGAGAAACAAAATCGGCTTCAGAAGTTGAAAATCTTCATTCAAAAAATAATAAATTGTGCTTGAAAAATAAAGGGGGAAAACCTGAGGAGTGAGACTCCGGCTTCCAACCAATTTTTTTTTTTTTTTTTTTTTTAAAAAAAAAAGGTGAAATATATTTACAAAAAAAAAAAAAGATATTTTCAAGTATTCTGGTGCATCTTGTTTTATGGAAAAAAAAACAAACCTGCATTTTTAAATGAGAAAAAAAAAAAAATCCCTTAAAATGAACAAAATGTCATCCTAATGATCCTCCTGATCCCCCTTTTTTGGGAGGAAAAGCCCCCAAAAAATCCGTGAATGGCAAATTCCTGGTAAAATCCAGCAGGATGGATCCATCCCTCCCTGGGACCCCCACCCTGGGCCACACGAAGGGTTTTGATTCCTCCAAATTTCTCCTTTGTTTTTGTTTCCGTTTTGTTTTTGGGGGTTTTTTTTTGGTTTTTTTTTTTTTTTTTTACAAAATCTCCTCCCGCAGCCGGAGCCGCCCCCACCCCCCCAGCTCAGCCAGGGCTGTGTCCCCTCTGTCCCCAAAGCCCCTCCCCGGCTCAGAGCCCGATCCTCGTGTGGAAAACCCTCGGGAAAAGCTCTGGGGAACGGGAAAAGGCAAATCGGGATGGATTTTGGGCATCCCCGGGCAGGAGCCGATCGGTCCCGGAATTCCAGCGGGAATTGCCCCAGGAAGAGGAGCCGGGCTCGCATCAGCGCCCGCGGGGGCCGTAGTGCAAATCAGAGCCGGGGACAGCGCTCGGTGCTCGGGGGGAGCCCCGGGGCACGGCCCGAGCTCCGGCCTCGCTGGGAATGCTCCGAACCCTCCTCGGGATGCTCCGAACCCTCCTCGGGATGCTCTGAACCCTCCTCGGGATGCTCCAAACCCTCCTCGGGATGCTCCAAACCCTCCTCGGGATGCCCCAAACCCTCCTCGGGATGCCCCAAACCCTCCTCGGGATGCTCCGAGCCCTCCTCGGGATGCTCCGAGCCCTCCTCGGGATGCTCCAAACCCTCCTCGGGATGCTCTGAGCTTTCCTTGGGGCACTCTGAGCTTTCCTTGGGATGCTCCCAACCTTCCTCAGGATGCTCCAAACCTTCCTCGGGATGCTCCAACCCCCCTTGGGGCACTCCGAGCTTTCTTCAGGATGCTCCGAGCTTTTCTTGGGATGCTCCAAACCCTCCTCGGGGCACTCTGAGCTTTCCTTGGGGCACTCTGAGCTTTCCTTGGGATGCTCCCAGCCTTCCTCAGGATGCTCCAAACCCTCCTCGGGATGCTCCAAACCCTCCTTGGGGCACTCCAAGCTTTCTTCAGGATGTTCCGAGCTTTCCCCGGGCTGCTCCGAGCCCTCCCGTTCCCAGCGAGCTCCCGGCCCCGTCGCTGCCGCTCCGTCCCTGTGTCCCAGCCGGGCGAGAGGAGCCAGGGAACCCTTGGAGAGCTCGTGGAGGTCCCGTCCCCGCCGAGCGAACCCCGGGATTCTCCTCGCAGGCCCGGGGGGGGCTGTGGGAGCCGCCCCCGGGGTGATCTGAGTGTCCATCCCAATGTCCGGCCCTTCCCGGGATCGGGGGGTCTGTCCCGCAGCGCTGGGGGGGCTTCACCCCCTTCACGAGGGGTCCCGAAATCGGGGAGG